CTGGTTTCTTCCAAGGATTTGTGGAAAGTCTCGACGGGGCCGCTTTGAACTGGTTCTCCCGACTAACTGAGAATTCAATCGACAGCTTCTGTGACTTTTCGACGGCCTTCCTCAAACATTACATCATGTTTACTAATCAGAAGGCAACGGCTTCCGATTTGTGAAAACTCACTCAACCTCAGGGACAAAGCTTATGCGAGTTCATGGAAAAGTTCAAGGCAGTCGTTTCTAAAGTTGACGTCCCTGACAACATCGCAGTGGACGCCCTGCAAAACACCCTCTACGTCCACTTGAAGTTCCGACCTCTATCACAACCCTACAACATCACTCCAGGACACTATCGCTCATTCTAACAACTTTATCCGTATAGAAGAAGATGCCAAAGCGATTATAAGCAAGCAGAATACGACCAAACCCGCGCCGAGTAGAAACGCCGACTCGAAATAGGAGCCGAGACAACACTCGACAGACGATAAACCGCCAAAAAAGAAAACCTTTGTTTACATGGTAGACGAAGATTCCTTTTCCGACTCGACGGTCATGGTCCGCGGTAAAGGATGGAATCATTATCACCGAAAGGAGGAAGGCGAGCAACACCAGTCCTCCCCCAAGAGATTGAGGCTCTGATTGTTAAAGACTTTGAAGACTTTTGCTTTGAAGACTTTTGATTCAAATTTGACTGTTAAGACTTTTACTTTTAAAACTTAAATCTGGCTTTAGAAATATTAAAAGTCATGGAATTGTGGCTTTTACAAAAACAGATCACGTAAAGAACAAATTCAGTTATTTTGGCTTTGAGAAATTTAAGGGAGACTTTAAAGACTTTAGAAACTCTAAAGCTTGATTGGTAATAATTTGACTTTAAAGACTTTAGATTTAAACTAAAGTCTCAACAGCCACTAAAGTAAAAATACCAATCGGACTCTGAATGTTGACGAACCAGAAGTGTACTACTCGTACCACAAGTCGAGAGCACACGATTCTAAAGACTGCAAGCAACTTAAAGAAATCCTATTCGGTAAGTACGCACGAGGTGAAATTCCGACAGACCCGCCTAAACCGCGTCCTAAAGGGAACAATATCTGGAGCAAAAACAAAGACAGGAGACCCCAGAAGCCCCCAGGCAAGCCGAAACAAGACGATGCTCAGCCAAAGGGGGACGGATCAGGGTCTCACGATCGCGATGATGCATTCCCTAAAGAAGAGCAGCCTAAGAACAGGAAGAGGATACAAGTTATCCTCACTACTCACGAGACGTCATCTGATGGCAAACCGGACCCCCGAGACCTACGTACGCTCCCACCGTGCGACAGTCAGCTCGCAAACCCGATGTTACCTCTGACCTCCGAGAGAAGCTCAACCAATCAAAAACTCGCTGAGTAACCTCCAGCCAAGATGCCATAGATCTACGCGGTAAACTAAATTCCACCAAAAGCGATCTCCGAGAAACACTCAACCGGTCGAAAAACGTCGATCTGCGGGAACATTTGGACCAGGTCAGGTCTCTCGCAACGTCTCCGGCGGAGGCGACGTCATATCAACCCCAGAAAGCATCTAGCAGATTAAACTTCATCATGGGAGGTTTGCCGCCCTGTTAAGACTCGGTCAGATCCGTCAAAGCACATCAGCAACAGGCGAAATCCTCCAAACGATGGCCACCCAAGCCGACGGATGATCCCCCAATCACTTTCTCGGCCGAAGACACTATCGGGGTTCATATGCCTTACAACGATCCGCTACTCGTCGAATTAGCATTGCTGACTGCAAAGTGACCAAAGTGTTGATTGACACCGGTATCTCAGTCGATCTTAAGTACACTCGAGAAGATGGGGATCGATCTCCGCCTTATCAATCCGTCCACTCGTTCGCTAACGGGATTCAACGAAGTATCCGAAGAAATGCTCGGCACAATCCGTCTCCCGGTGTATGCTGGGGGAGTCGCTCGCACGGTTAAAGTTTCCATCGTCGGTACAAGCGCCCCGTATCATGTGATACTCGGAACTCCCTAGTTGCACTCGATGAAAGCGATCTCTTCCACCTATCAACAATGCGTTAAGTTTCCCGGCGCAGACGGCCGTATCTGGACATTGTGTGGCGATTAAGAAGCAGCACGCGAATTACTCGTAGCGAGTATCAAGCAAGCAACACCTCGCATAAACGAGATACATAAGATCTATCAAAAATAAAGCTCAATCGCAAATATCATCAACAAATGATAGCATGACAAGTGTCATTTTTGCCATAGAAATTTTTTATTTTATTGTATTAGATATACAATCTTTACATATTAATTATATTATTCTAGTCATATATACATAAATTTGTATCTATGTTGTAAATATATTATTATAGTTATTTATCAGAGAAAAAAAGAAGAAAAAATTGTCAAATGAAAGAAAAAATCATCCTCAAAGAACTTGAAAATAATGCTTTAGAAAAATTGCTTATCAAAACAGTAGATTTGAAAAAGAACTAGTTATGACTGGCGGTTTAAAAAGAATTACTGCTTGATTGCATTAGTTTTGGTGCTATAAAAAATAAGGTTGTAAACAACACTAACAACTCTCATCACTGCGCGTTAACGAACTCTATTGACCACTCATTATAATTCACACCGGTAAACATCATATATGTTATTAAGCCACCGGGATTGTCTGATGCATACAGCGAGTAAGGAGCTGAAGCGCCATTTTTACTTTGCTCAACTTGATCAGTTGTACTTTTTTGCAGAAGAATCCTCACCGTCTGTCATGATTAAGAAAACTTCTTAAGAGAATGAAAAACAAAATGCAGGAGTTTTTTCGGGTGAGGAGCAGGGGCCGCCCTATGGGCGGGCATCTCCCGCAACGAAAGCTGCATAGTTCGCCACACAAGCTGCTTCAGTCTCACTCCTAGCTTTTCTTTTCGAAAGTCAAATATGTATGTGGTTGGGTTCGAATCCCAATGAGCTATGAATATACATGAACTTCAGGAAAAAAAGTGATCTCAAAATTCTGTTGCTCTGATACCATATAGTGTAAAGATATTGTTGTAAATTGTTAACTTGTCATTACATCGAGCAATGCTCTTGTTTATATACACGACTTAGATAACATAAATCTTAGACAACAAGTACTCTTAGGTAGCCGACAACAAGGAATCTTAGACAACATAAATCTGTAACCGAAATATATAGAAATCTATGTACATAATCCTAATCATAAAAGGTAATACATATCCTTCCCAATACATCACCTAAGATTGGAGAATTTTGACCAAACTGAACCAAATTTTTGGGTTCTGTTTTGGTAATAAGTTAATTTAAAAACCTAGTTTATGTTTATTGTATATTGTATAGTTACTTACATAAGTTATATGGAGCTTGAGTGCATGAGCAAATGCAGGGGGTATTAAAAGATTAGAACAAATGTTAAAAAAAAAAATTAAACAAAAAAGGTTTAAAATTTTTAATTGGTGCCACAAAAATAAATGAAAAGAATAGTTTTTTTTTTTTTTTTGACATCAAACGGCTAATCTATTACTCAAGCGACTTGAGGTGGTCTGGGTAACCAGACCGGAACAGAACAACCAACGTACACAAGCTTAAGGTAAAAGGACCTAGCTAACTTAGCTAATGAATCGGAAGCACCATTCTGAAGTCTAGGAACATAAGAGATCTTGAATTCTGGAAAGCAGATCTTCAGCGTCATCAATTTCTCCAACTCCGTTGAGAAGCTAGGCCAATCTTGAGGATTTTTAAGCATTCCAATCATTTCCTTGCAATCAGTTCCAAAGCTCTGACATGGCGAATGTTGAAGCATGTTCTCTATTGCCCACCGTAGTGCCTCCAACTCTGAATGCAACGCCGATTCCACTCGCTCAAAATTCCGCACACCCAGTAACTGTCTTTTTCCAGCAGCATCATTCAAAACCCACACACACCCACTGAATGATTCCGTTGAAGTCCAAGAACCATCCACCATGCAGATGTTTTCCAAGCTTAAGGCTTGGTCAACACCTATTCCATCTCCAAGGGAAGACGGTAATGTCTGCTCATTTGCTTGCTCATTTGCTTGGAACCAAGCTTGGCATTCACTCTCTGCGTAACGCGCCACTTCCAATGGGTCCCTATCAATGCCTCGGAACAACTTATCATTCCTAGCCTTCCATGTACCAGATTAACCAAGGATAAGGGTCCCTATCCATCTCTGGTTCCATTATTGCCTTCTTCCTCCAGAACAGATAATCCATATTGGCGTATGTGCTTTGAACTGGAAATATAGCTGGATTGGTAGGCGTCGATGATAGTGCCCAAACCTGTAAAGCAGGTGGACACTCGAATATTGCATGTGTGATCGTCTCCTCTGGCATCCCACATCGAGGGCAGTGGTTGTCACATCTCATATGTCGGTAGTTTAAAATGCTTGTGACAGCTACATGTCATGTAATCACCTGCCACATAAGATGGCAAATCTTTTGGGGAGTCCTTACCTTCCAAGTATGTGCTTGTAGCTTTGTGATACTAGGTTCACATACTCCAGTCTCATCTTCCTTCCTCAAGATATTTCGTGCTACCCAATATCCAGATTTAACGGTATACTGTCCATTTCTTGTATAGCTCCAGCAGTACGTATCCCGTCGATGTGTGGAACTAATAGCCAGACTCTTAATAAGTGGAATGTCTTCCACATTAATGTAGTCTTGGAGTCGTTTCTCATCCCAAGTTCTCGATGTTTGGTTAATCAAATCGCTCACGCGCATATTCGAATGCATAATCGGTGTCAGAGGGATTGCTGGTCTTGCAGGAATAGTGGGAATCCAAGGATCCTCCCAAGTTTTGACCTCATACCCTGAAAAGAATAGTTAAAGAACCCCAAAGATAAGCTAAAAGACAATATATAAGTCATCGGTCAACCAATTGGACACGTTCAAAGTCAACTATTGAAGAAAATGTTCTGCAATAAGTTTCACATAACCTGTTTGCTACGAAGATCCAAAGAAACATTGTCTTCGTCTTCGCCATGGCAGGCACTTCGTTTCTTGATACCGTTTTCCGAAGAAGAAAGAAGAATTCTTCTGACTTCATCACTACTGGTTTCCTAGGCAGTAAGTCTTCGTTTCTTTCGTTAGTTTCTACATGTGACTCGAAACCTCCAGAAATTATATTTATTTGCACTTGTCTCTACTAAATTCTCCAGCTTTTGAATTCGACTTTGAAACCATTAGAGCTGCAACTGATAACTTCTCACATGTGATTGGTCGTGGCGGATTTGGTTCTGTCTACAAGGTTAGGTTCTGGTCATGATTTTTATAACAAATAAAAAAGAAACTCTATATAGATTCGTTTTCATATATAAACAAATCAGGGTAGGCTTTCAAGCGGGGAAGAAATAGCAGTCAAGAGATTATTTGGAAGTTCCACTAGAAATGAAACAGATTTTCGTAACGAAGTCGAGATTTTGTCAAAGCTAAGGCACAAGAATCTGATCCGTCTTCTTGGTTTCTGCTCTAAACAAGACCAGCGTTACCTTGTTTATGAGTTCATGCCTAACTCAACCCTCCAAAGTTATATATCTGGTTAGACAACACTGAACATCCTTTTCAAATCAAACCATGTCTAGTTTTCAAGCTCTAATCATTAGTTCATTGCTCATTGTGGTTATGTGCTTCAGATCCACATAGAGATTCTCATCAGCTAAGTTGGGAGATGTGTCGAAACATCGTCCAAGGCATAGCTCGAGGGCTACGTTACATTCATGAAGAATCTCAATTATGGGTTGTTCACCGCGACATTAAACCTTCAAGCATTCTACTGGATTTAGATTTTATACCCAAGATCACGGGTTTTGAATCGGCGAGGATGATGCAACAAGGTGAGAGTGAAGGAGAATCAACTATAATTGTCGGTACCATGTAAGTGATATTTAGTGATTTACATACGCAAGTGTTGATGTTTTAAAGAGCAAAGAGCGTTAGAGACTAATACACAACGTTTTGTGATGGACTACAGAGGGTTTTTAGATCCAGAGTACATGAGAACTGGTCGTGTTTCTGTCAAATCCGATGTTTATTCCTTTGGAGTTACCATCTTGATGATCATCAGCAGAAGAAAAGCTTTTAGTAGTGGAGGCCAAGAACCACTAATTGAACATGTGCGTTTAAATTCAAGCAAAAGTATACGTAATTGTTATTTACCCTTAGTATTTGTATAGTTTAGGAATCATAAGACATATATTTTCTTTTTGATATAGGAACTAAGGCGAATGTTTCACTAGATTTTGTGCAAAACTGACTTTGGTTGTTATGTTAAGTAGTTCTTTAATGGTGTATTCTATTAGGTTATGAGATGTTGGAACAGAGGAGAAGCCATCTATGTGGTCCATGAAGTGATGAGAGAACAAGAAAGAGATGATTCTATAAGCGAAATCTTGAGATATATTCACATTGCTTTGCTATGTATCGATGAAAATGCAGAGACAAGGCCGACTATAGATAAAGTTCTTCATTGGTTTAGTTGTTGCTCTACTCCTTTACCTGAACCAACAATTGGTGATCGATTTCTTGTAGAGGCAGAAACAAATCGGTTTTTTTCTTCGCCATCTCTATCACCAGGATATAGCTCTGATATGTCTCCTACGTCTTCACATCACGGAGATTGAGCATGGTCGCAAGATTGTATATCTGCTTGAGTGCTCAGTTTATTGGGTTGATGAGAGTTTATGATGGAATGGTTTGTTGGTTATTCTAATACTCTTATATAATAAATGCGAACTACATTTCGGATTTAACATCTTGGAAATCCTTTACAACAATTTTAATTTAAATAATATTTAAAATAAATTTTGTTCATATTTTAACTTTTCTTATTTTATAACAATATATTTTAATATAAATTTGATTTAATTAAACATAAAATTAAGATAAAGTAAACAGTCTAATTTATTTTAATTATATTTAAGAATATTTATGTATATGTGTAAAATTATATTTGCAGATAGATTTTCATTTATTTCATTAGGTTAGAATATTTTAAATCAGTTTGTATAAGATTAAAAAAGATAGAAAATTGTAAAATTATAAAAAGTAGAAAAAAACAGAATTTCTAAAATTGGTAGATATTAATAGAAAACAAATGGTATTGATTAAATTTTATAACTTTTTAAAAGTTTACATTAAAAAGATAGAAATTTGTATAACTTTCTATTATTATTATATAATATTATATTTAAATATATTTATATTAATGATGATATGTGAGTTATTACCATGTTTTTAGAAATTATCGAAATATTAATAAAATTAAATGTAATTGTTAATGTTATATTTTATTTTAAACAATGACATCTTTTGTAATATGTCATATTAACTTTTTTTTAGTGAAATTGATTGTGATGAGGACACATACTAAAATCTATTCTCAAATAATGTAAAATCTATTTGTTTTAATATTTTTCTGAAATGTTCATAAACCAACTAATAACAAAAACCAAAAGTTTTAGAAATTTAATCGGTACCACACAAAAAACAAATAAAAAAATTAAAGGAATCTGAAATCTACTATAATTAAAAGCTCTTATTAAGAGCATTTGGAATTGTCCACGTCATCTATTATATTCAACCAATACATACATTTCATTCTGCCACATCAGATGAATTCGGTTGGACTGGATTTGGTTTTGGGCCTGAAATTCGTTTTGCTGGGAGGTCCAGTAACGATATGTCCAGATGAGCTAAAGCTCTTCTCTCCTTTATTTTTTTTTGGCCTGAAACTCGTTTTGGTGCGAGATCCACTGATAAACTGATAAGATTAGGTTAAGGTCTCTCCTCTTCTCCTCTCCTCTTCTCTCCCGATTCGTCTTCTTCCCTGCTGTGAGGGGTAAAACTCACTTCCTAGTTTAGGTTAGGTATAAATTGGGAAAATATAATCGTGAGCTGAATCCTGTTGGAACTTGTATGAATGAATACGCTGTTTATATTGATTTTTGGTAATAAAAGAGTTTACAAAGATGATCTTGACGATCTGAATAGCAAGAACAATGTTTTATAAAGAATGACTAAGAACAAAGTGTATTGGAGTCTTTTTATGTTGAATGAGTCGAATCCCCTTTCTCTGATCTCTTCTCTTCTTTATATAGCACTAGGTCACGTCCAACTTCTTCGGCGAAGCCTCCATGATTATCTCCGTGAGTTGCGGGATTCGCAACAGCTTCCTCTTGACTAAGTCTTGCACGTTTCTCCGGAGCTGTTTCTCGCTAGCTGTTTTGAAAATGAGGTTCCGAATCTTTTGTTCGTGACCTGTTTTATCGATAGGTAACGATTTCATTTGACCCTCATTTGAGGGGAGGCTTCCTGACGGGCTCGTAATGCTTTGCAAACGATTTCAACTATTCGGCCCATTAATTCAGCTAACGGGCTAAATTCGGGCCCAACAGTTGCCCCCAGCTTTCGAGATAAGATCTCTTTTCTCGGAAGCTACAGTGTAACCGCCTAATCTCTTGTTCCTTGAGATAATGATTACAATCGAAGATTCGCGTGACCTTAATTCTACGGCCCGGATTTCGTTAGATTAAATCAACGGTATGGATTAATATATTTTGAATAATTTCAACTCCGATTTTCGAGGCTGGACGTGGTATAAAGCTGCGGTTATTAACTGCGCTGTTCCTCCACCACCCCACGTCTCGATTTGATTCCCCAGGTAACTGTTCACTTTCTTCTTTATTTTACTGTCGTTATATTTGTTTCAGTTAATACTTTTGAGAATCCATAGTCAAGAAAGCTTTCATCCGAACTTTTCTTCGACTTCTTTGCTCCTTTTTTTTTTTTGCTTTCTTCCGTTTTACTATCATGACGAAAGACAAAGAGGGTACCGGGGAAACTGAACTTCCTCCCTCCGGTGCTCAGCTTATGAAGGTTAAGCTGGAAATCGGTGAAAAGATGAAGAAGAGCGAAGCGAGCAAGAAGGGCAGAGACTCAATTGCTTTACGAGTCTCCAAGAGAACGAAGAAGAACGACGGCTCAGGTGGAAGCACCCCTTTCGGATCTCACGTGCCCTCTTTGCTGAGGAGCCAGGAGGTTGTTAATCTGATGGTTCAGGCTGTAGGCCAGAAAGATTTAGCCAAGGCCTGTAAACCCGACGAGACTCCGGAGACTGCTCCGGAAGGATGGTTCTGTGTTCACGAGAAATACATTACCAAGTGCCATCTCAGGTTCCCGCTCCCAG